CCCTGGCAGCAGCCTACCAAGATGCTGTTAACACCCCTATTGCCCCCCATCCCTTCCAACCAGGTGACACCGTCTGGGTCCGGAGACATCAGGCTCAAAGCTTAGAGCCTCGCTGGAAAGGACTGTGCACAGTCCTCCTCACCACCCCTACAGCCCTCAAAGTGGACGGGGTTGCAGCCTGGATCCACGCCTCACACGTCAAAGCGGCAGAACCTCAGCACCGGGAGTCCCAAACAGGAGAGCAGCAGGAGAGATGGCGACTGACATGAACATCAAACCCTTTAAAGATAAGACTGGTCAAAAATTAATAACCAGAGTTCTGACCCTTATACTTTTAGTCAAAAACATAAGAGGTGGCCTTCAACCATTTAATGCTACCAGATTTATGCTAACCCGGTATGGTCCCCCTTGTGAATGTAGAGGTGGCCATTGGGAGGCCCCACCCAGTACATATTTCCGGTCTGTAGATTGTGGAGACAGGACTGCTTATCTTGGTATTCATGGTACACCTACTCAGCAGCACCAACAGAGCTGGAAATGTGTGTCTAAGCCTAAACCTATCTTACCACCAGCTAATGGTGAGTGCCCCTCTGATTGTAATTTCGTCGAAGCTATGCACTCGTCCTGTTATGCTTCTTTTACTGAATGTCGGCTCAATAATATCCTGTATTTTTATTCTACGGCCATTTCTTATAAAAAGGCCTCTGGGGGCACAGATTGGAGTCTTAACACTCAGGTACTAGGACCAGAAAGTTATAATTCTAAAACCCTTAGTGCAGGCTGCTATGTAGAACCTGGACAAAAGGCATGTTGGCCGCAACAAGCTCCGATTCACATATCAGATGGAGGGGGCCCTACAGACCAGGTTAAAGAAAATTATGTCCAAACTGTGTTGCAAAAACAAAGGGAGTCTCTCTTGCCCCGCCTTCATTACCATCCACTATTGCTACCAAAACCTAGAGGCCTTAATTTAGACCCTCAGACCATGGAGATCCTTACTGCCACCCATGATGTCCTAAACCGTTCCAACCCTTCCCTGGCAGAGGATTGTTGGCTGTGTCTCGCATTAGGAACTTCATAGCCTCTAGTTTTACCTTTAAATAATGAATCTAATATACTCCCCTCTCCGGATATCTGTAGCTATTCCACGCCTTTTAAGGTCCAGCCCCGCTACTTCAACACA